AAAAAAAAAAAAAAAAAGGGAACTGCCACAGCTCACAGCCTACCAAGGGGACACAGATAGTAGGTCTGAATAGCAGACGGATAGATGGGAACTTGTCTCTTTAGTTTTTCATGAACAGCTTCTAACTGGTCCAGGCAGGGAGGTGCAGGCTTCCAGGCTGTGGTTCCATGGAAGACACCAGCCGGGCACGCAATGGACGTTTTCCAGCCCTGGCACAGACAGAGCGTGCACGTCCCTGCTCTCAGAAAGCCAGCCTTCTGCCTCTGGCAGCGCCAGCACATAAAAGCAGAGGCAGCCTGCTGTCTCTGCCTCACCCACACTAACACCCCTATTTAGAAAGGTTGACACATCACTATCACTGCTTCTGAAAATTTTATCTGGCCAAAGGCATCAGCCCAAACTTGAATTCTTGCCAAAGCTGGAGGTGATTTCCTTCTTTGAATGCAGTATCTTCCTCATGAACACATACAGCTCTTACAAGAAAATGAGAATATAGTTTGGGGAGGGGGACCCCTCAGCTTCCTTTTCCCAATGCCAGCCTCACAAAGTCTGGTCCCATGTCCCCTGGGATTTTGCCACGGGAGATGACTCACTTAATTAATACGCTGCTCCTGACCGTACACTTGGAAGCAGAGGTTCCGTTCCTTCGATTTTTGCCAAAGCTGCTTACGAAACCGTATCTTGTGTTGGTGCCCAAGGTGTGTAAAAATACAAGTTCATCATTTCCCTGACACAAATCACGACAGGCTAAATTTAGTGCCTCACCTGCTCCTAACTAGTCTGTCCCACCGTCATGCCTGCCGCCGGGCTGTGGTCCTGAGTTTCTGTGTCCCTCTGAGGACAGCGACACCCAGACACAGAACAACCCAGACAACCCACACCCAGTCAGTTGTCAAACGCGGCCACGGTGCTCGGGAGGCTGGCTGCAGACGGGCGACTAACGCTGGGTGTCTTCTTTAGTCTTATTTTCTTGTAAAGACGAGGTCTCGCTTTGGTGCCCAGGTTGGTCTCGAACTCCTGGGCGCAAGCGATCCTCCTGCTTGGGCGTGGGCCACCGCGGCCGTCCCAACGCTGGGCGTCTTGGAGACCTTGGTCACAGGCTTAAGGGAAAGGCCTAGCGCGTGGCCGCGCGTGCCTCTGGTTTCAAGGGACATGGACTGCGTGTCTGGGGCCCCTCCGCACTCCGTGTCAGACCCTGCGTCCCCCGGGTCAGCGCGGGGCCTGGGTTGGGCCTCGCCCTCTGCGGCGTCTGCGCCTCGCAACCCCTGAGGCACCTGCGACCCCTGGGCCGCGGAGCCAGGAGTGCGCCGCCTCCTGGTCTCATCAACGTGAGAACGCTTTACCCCGGAAGGGCTCAGCTCCCAGGGGGCTATGTCCCTGTGCGTCTCTCGCTCGCCGCGCGGTGCCGTTTACTCGTCCGCACCATGCGTGGGTCGCGGTTGCGCCCGCTGGTAGCTGTACGTCGGGAACCGTTCTAAGTAAGGTTTGACTCCGCGCGCCCCTTGCCAGGGACGTCACGTCACGTCTCCACTCGCAGCCTTGGAGCACCCCCGCGTCCCGCGCCTGAAGCTCGAGACCCCAGCTCCGGCGAGACGAGGTATACAAGACAGCGGAACACCCCCCGCAGCCGCCGCACTGCCGCGACGCTCCCGGCGCCTGCCTTTATAGGAAGCCGGCGAGGGGCTGGGGCACCGCCGGGACGTGCTGACGTCAGGCCCGACGGAGGGCGGGGCCGGGGCAGCGGCGGCGGCGTTAGTTCTCCGGGTACCTCAGGAGCCTCAGCCTCCTTAGTCTCCTCATCCTGCTTCACAGGCTGCGCGGCCTCCGGTGTCCTCGGCCCCCGTCCGCTGTCGCCCGCCGCCCGGCCCCTCGCCGCCCTCCCTAGGCCGCCCCGCCGCCATGGGCCTGCGCCCGCCTCGCCGCCGGGCCGAGGGCAGCTGAGGCGCGGCGCGAAGATGGGCGAGGACGGAGCAGGGCCCGAGCGCCAGCCCCAGCAGCCCGGGCGCCCCGCGCGCGCCCGCCCGCGCCGCCGAGGGGATGCCCGCGCCCGCCGCCGCGCCCTGAGCGCCTTTGTCTGCCGCCCGCGCCCTCCGCACCACTAGCCTCTGAGGAGCATGGCGTCGGCCCCGCCGGCCTCGCCCCTGGGCTCGGAGCCGCCGGGGCCCGTCGATTTGCCTTTGTAGAAGGTCTGGAATTAAGAATTTTACTTTGGTGCCTTTGGGAAGGAAGGGAATGAGCCTCTGAGCTTGTTGGCAAATACAGAAGTCTAGCAGAACTCCATTAGGCACCTCCACTCTAGCAGGAAGGTGAAATGCGTGGACAGGCACTGCGCACAATACAGTGTGGCAGGGTCCACGCGGTCCTCAGGGCGCCAGCTCCTGGGGGGAAGGTGGGCCGGAAGATGCAGTCATTTATTCTACCTCAGCACTTAATAAGTTTAAGTGAGTAGGATAACAGCAGGCGGGTGTGTTCTGCCAATAACCCGGTGGACATCAAAATAATCAGCGCGCTCACTTTAAATAGTTTACTTTGTAGGAAACCTATTGATCTGTCAATTTTTTGTATTTTGTGTGACTTCTCACACATGCAGGCATCTGGTAAGTGGGTGTTCAAGTACATATGCATGTTTAAGCCAAGAGGTCTGTAAGAAAGCAAGGGTAAAATTGGCACACATGGCTATTTAGGGTGTCAGCTCATAACATTAAGAACCTCTGATGGCCAGGCGCGTGGCTCACGCCTGTAATCCCAGCAAACTA